CGGAGGAAAAGGAGACCTCGGTCACTGCCACATGGTGTCACCCCACAGGCCGCCCACCTCCAGCATTGCACTGTCCCCCCAAATCACAGGTCCTGGCTTTCCAAGAGCACCGATGCTGCGTCCACGGTGAGCCGGTCCTGCGCAGTGCCTGGCACGGGCAGCTCCTTGTCCAGCAGGAGGGCAACTGCAGGCAGGTGGTTGTCCCCTTGGTCAGAGAGCGTCCGGACAGGGAAGCCACAGTGCCGGGGGCACACAGGAGAGGCCCTCATCGCCGCGGTGGGGACTGGGCTGGTCCAGCCGAGAACACCACAGCTGCGCAGAGTTGCTGGGAAGGAGGGCAGGAGAAGAGCCCCAGGCCCAGGGAACAGAGGGGCAAAGGCCCCAAGGCAGATGGAGCTTTGAGCAAACCAGGAGCCGCAAGAGATAGACACTGGAGGATGGGGGCAGGGCCGGCCCCCGCCCCAGGCCCGCCAACTCTGGGGGTGTTTGGCCTGGAGGTGCCAGTGAACAGAGTGCCTGAGGAAACAGTGAGGAAGCCCAGAGAGAAGGATCAGGTCTCTCAATTCCCCAAGACCCCCCGCCCCCGCCTGGGTCTCCAATTTCACTGGCAGCCGGTGGGGCAAGGGAGAGGTGTGGGCCGACTCCAGGCTGGCCCCGCCCGTGCCCCCAGCTCAGCCTTTAGCCATCCAGAGCTCTACAGCCGGGACTGGCCACTCACACCCCTGCTGGGGCTGGGGGCTGGGAACGGTGGGGACAGTTCCCACCACTGAGGGGTAAGGGGGCTGCCGGGAGCCCAGCAGACCCTGGGCCACCCAGGAACACGCTCCAACAGTGAGCACTGGCCTGGGTCTCTCGCCCAGCTTGACCTGTGGAGCCTCAGGGTGCTCCCGGACCCCATCAGGGACACGGTCTTTGCTCCCAGGCAACCTGCGCAACCTCTGGCTCACCTCCACCTCCACCTGCTGTCCCCCCCGCTCCCGCCCCCACAGGATCTGGCCTCGCCCACCTGCGGGCCGCACCTCGGGGTGAGGCAGCAAGGTTCCTATCTTGGGGATGTTTTTCTCCCTTTGCTGAGAAATCCACCCCCCCACACCTCGCATCTCCTCAAGGAGCCAAAAATGCAGCTGCCGATTGATTTACTGCTGAGCTAAAAATAACCGCAAGGCTCCAGCCAGGGCCCGGGAAAATATCCCATTGCTAGGAGACAACCGTTACTGGGAGACCGCTATTGCTAGGCGACGCGTGTTGCCGTGGTGACAGCTGGGCCCTGAGTCATCCTCAGCCGTGACAGGGGGTAGGCCAGGCAGGGAGCAGAGAGGCCAGAGGGCACCGGACAGAGCCCGCCACCCATGGCCCCTTCTGCCCCCATGGGCACCTCATTCTGGCCTCCGAGTGGCCAGGACCACCAAACACACCTGCAGCCGCTGCCCCCACGGGCTGTCCTGGGCCTTTCCAGCCTCTGCCACTGGACAGAGGGTCTGTCTGGCCCCAGAGGAGTCACTTTGCTCTTGAGTATGGGGCTCTCACGGCTGGTGCTGCGCCGAGGCCTTCAGGCATCCCCCACTAGGCCCCGGACCCAGTTCCCAGGAGGGCTCGGTCGGGGGAAATGCTTACCCGAGGCCCTGCCCGGGAGGATCTGGCCCACGTGCCCGCGCAGAGCCCCCAGGGAAATGCCTGAGGACCTCCTGTGATGAGCCCCAGAGCCCTGTGGGGTGACCTCTACCTGATGTGACCCTGGCTGCTCCTCATAGCCCAAGAGTCTCAGGGCCAGAGGTGCCAGTGGCCTCTGGTCCTCAGTGCCCCATGACTCCAGAGCTGGAACCCCCAAGCAGCCTGGACAGGAGACTCCTCCATGCTCACGCAAGGGGTGGCCCAGGTGAGGTGTGCTCCAGGTGAGGTGTGGTCCAGGTGAGGTGTGCTCCAGGTGAGAGATGCTCCAGGTGAGAGGTGCTCCAGGTGAGAGGTGCTCCAAGTGCCTTTGGGAGCCGAGGCCACACACCCTCCCATGTCAGTCCCCAGGAGTGATGAGGGCAGTGGTGTCCCCACTGAGCCAGGCCTGGGCAGTACTCCGCATCTTCCAGAGGAGACGAGTCTGAGCAGCCCAACTTTGCCCAAACCTTGCCTCTCCAGGGACACACGCTGTCTCCAAAGGCATTTCCAAAATGGGGCCCGTCCCCCACAGAAGGTGGCTCAGTGCTGGTGCCAGTGACCGCTCGTGCTTGCATGTTTGCTCCCTTCCTCGTCCACCTCATTTGTTGAGCACCTGTGAGGTGCTGAGTCCCAGGCTAGGTGCCCGGGGACGGGTGGGGGAAAGGGAGCCCGTACCCTGGCCCTCAGGGGGTGCGGTCAGCCAACAGCTGACTCAAATGCACCAGCAGATAATAGGCAGACCCGGGCTGAGAAGGGGAGGTCCTTGGCGCTGGAGAGGTGAGGACTCGGGTTTGTGGCCCTGTCCACCTGGAAGGAAGCCTCCTAGGGGAAAATACACTAGCCAAGATCTGAAGCACAAGTAGAGTGATCAGGTGCAGGTGGCAAAGGGGCGCTCCAGGTGAGGGGCCAGGTGAGAGGGTTGCTCCAGGAAGGGGGTACTCCAGGTGTGGGGTGCTCCAGGTGAAGGTGCTCCAGGTGAGGGAGGAGGCACCCACCTGGCCCTGGAGGAAGGCAATGCCGCTGAAGCTCCGAGAGAAAGGGGCAGGTACGGGGTGAAGGTGTGGCCAGCAGTGCCAGGCACTCAGGCCTGTGCAGACTGCAGCAAAGAGGGGGCAGAGCCCTGGGAAGGACGGGACCATGTCTGCATCGTAAAATGACCCCCTGCTCCCCAGGGAGAACAGGTGTTGGGAGAAGGGTGGAGAGACCAGTGTGGACGTAGCTGCCAACAGCCGTGGGGAGAGAGACACAGGTGCCTGGCACAGGGAGGGCTGACGGGGAGAGAAGTAGGTGGACCCACAGGCATGGAGGGGGCAAAAGAGGCCTCTACAACAGCATCTCCCTGTTCCTCTGAGGGGATGAACTCTGCTCTTCTGCAAAGGCAGAGCTGGCTTCTCGGGGCCCCGGCCAGGGTTGCATGACCCAAATGCCATTGGGTGTCATGGTGTCCCCCACCCTCACCCTATGCACCCTGAGACTCAGCACAACTTGCTCTCTGCCTGAGGCCCTGGCACCTGCTAAGGGGCAAGAGCCCCCAGAGCATGAGGTGACACCCTCCCCCAGCCACGGAGCACGCCCGCACGCCGGAGGTAGAGGCTGCTGCTGGAAGGCCAGCCTACCAGACCCACGTACCAGACATGACAGGGCAGGTTAGACGGCCACCCTCCTGTCACCCCAACTGTCTTCTCAGGGGTCCTCCTGTCTGCCCCACTCCAAGCCCCCCTCTTTTTTTTTTTTTTTTTTTTTGAGACAGAGTTTCACTGTGTTGCCCAGGCTAGAGTGCCGTGGAGTCATCCTAGCTCACAGCAACCTCACACTCCTGGGCTCAAGCGATCCTCCTGCCTCAGCCTCCCGAGTAGCTAGGACTACAGGCATGCGCCACCATGCCCGGCTAATTTTTTCTACATATTTTTAGTTGTCTGATTAATTTCTTTCTATTTTTAGTAGAGACGGGGTCTCGCTCTTGCTCAGGCTGGTTTTGAACTCCTGAGCTCAAACAATCCGCCCGGCTCGGCCTCCCAGAGAGCTAGGATTACAGGCGTGACCACCGCGCCCGGCCCAAGCCACCCTCTTTGATCAGTGTCAGGGCGCAGGAGCAAGACCTGAGTCTCTGGTCCCTGCCGTGCAGAAGAGCTGTGCGGACCCCAGCTGCTGCAGGCTGGAACCAGAGCCCCCCAGCAAGAACAGCACTCCCCCCAGAGCAGCGGGGGTCCAGCCAGCCTGGCTTCCCCTTCCTGCCGCTGCCCCCAGGACTCACACCAGCCCCACGGGGCCCTGCTTCCCATCAAGACGCCAGGCACGCACACCAGCTGGTCTCATTTCTGTTAAGACTTGAGGAGGCTCGCTCTCAGCCCTGTGACTGTTCCCTGATGCAAAGACCCCACTCTTCTCCCCCCACACCTGGTCCCTCCACCGTCCCTGCTCCCAGGAGACCCCAGGATGGGACACTGTAGCCTCCATCCTCCTGCCCTGAGCCTGGGTCTCAAGTAGCCCTCACGTGTCCTTCACACGACCCACCACGCCACCCCCTGCGCTGGGCCGCAGTGGGCTACGACCCCTGGCCTCCGGGTTATTCTGGAGGGAACTCGCCAGGTTCCTTAAGGCCTCCGCACCTTTGCGCACCCCTTGCCAAGCCACCCTCCCTCTGACCGGTGGGGTCTCAGCTCCAGCATGACAGTGACGCTCTGGGGCGTCTCCCCCCCCCCCCGCGAGGTGTCCCTCTCGCGCGCTCTCTTGTGTCGCTTTTTCCGTGACTCTGTGGTTTTGTGTTTTTTGTCTGTTCTTTTCCGCTCTGTGGGGGTGTGCGTGTGTCTGCTTGGGGGGTTTCCTTGCCCGTTTCCTTGCCTTGGCGGGCGTTGCCGGGGGTTCGGGGGGGGGGGGGGGGGGTCCCAGAGGGTGGTGGTCTGACCAGCCCTCCTCCTCTGGGCCGGGCCTCCCCTTCCTCGCCCCCGGCAGGTGGTGCCCTGGGCCAGCACGCACGGGGCGGCCCCCATCCCCAAAGGAACCTGCGCGCCTGGGCCGACCGCACGCTCTCGGCATTCAGGTGGCCTCCGCTTGGCACGGGCGGGCCCGCCGGGGCCGGCTGTCCCGCCGCGCGCCCTCCCCGACCCGCCGCGCGCCAGGGTTTGTTATTGTGCGGGTGTCCGCGGCGGAGGGGGCGGGGGCGCGTGCCGGGGCTGGCGCGTGCCCGTGGGTGCCGCGCCGGGAGCGCGCTGCGCGCGGGGGCGGGGGCGGGGCGCGGCCTCCTCGGCGCCCCCGCCCGGGCTCGCGGTCCCGGATTGGCTCCCGACGCCGGGAGCGCGCGAGGGCGCGGCGCTCAGGGCCGGGCGGGGGGCGCGCGCGGCGCCGGCGGCGGCCGCGGAGGAGCGCCGGGAGGAGGGCAGGGGAGGGAGGAGGCGCCCGCCCGGCTCCCTGCAAAGCGGCCTTATTTATCTGGGTGCAGCCTCAGCCTCCCCGGTGGGAGGATCGGGGCGGCCGCTCTTCTCCCACCGGGGAACTCCTCTGCAGGCGCGGCCGAGGGGGCCCGGCCAGGCCAGGACGCGGGGCGCGGGGCGCGGCCGGGCCCTGCCGGCCAGTCCAGCACCTCGACGGCCTCCGCGCTCGCCGGCGCCCGAGCCGGGCTCCCCATGACGGGAGGTCGCCCGGTGGACAGCGTGGCATGAGCCAGGAGCCCGGGCCGAGGTAAGGTGTGTGCGCGGGGCCGGGCTGCGGGGCTGGGGGGCCAGGCCAGGCCACCGCGGCGGCCACAATGAGGAGGGGCGGGGAGGGGGCTTGGTTCCGCGCCGCCGCCGCCGCCCGGGAAGGGCTTACGTAATGGCAGCCCCTTCCCCACCTCTCCCTGCTGCCGCTGGGCCTCAGGCCCTGCCGGGCCTTCCCGCAGCCCCTCACCCCGGTGGCTCCCCACCGACAGCCCCGCCAGGCAGCGGGTCCGTGCCACCTGAGCCGCTGAAAGGAAGCGCGGTGTCGCTGTGGAAGCGGAATTGCAGGCCCCCCAGCCCCCACCCCGCCTGGCTGAGCCCTGCTGGGCTCAGGGCTCCCCTTCCCCACCTCCGTGAGCCCCTGGACCTACGTGACAGGTGTTAGATGCAGTTAAACTCCAGGAGGAGCCATGTGGATGAGTGACCTGGGGGCTGGTCCTGCCTGGACGCCTTCTGGACGTGAGGCCTGAAAGAGCTGCCACCCCCGGGAGGAAGAAGGGAGGGGAGGGGCTGGCACCGTCCGGGTTCTGGAGGAGGAACCAGGCCTTGGCCAAGGCTGGAGAGCCGCACAAGGGAAACCGGGCATCCTGAGGCTTGCTGGGGAGGGGTCCTGTGTCCTCCTGGGAGTTGGGTGGGCGGGCACAGTTCCACACCCATCACCCCAGAAGGAGGGATGGCCCTGCTGTTGCAGGAGCCCACGGCCCAGCGGCCACTTCTGCTGGCCCCTCCCGGCCTCCACACGGGCAGCCTGACCTCCCCAGGAAGAGCAGATGGCTGTTGCCGCTTCACCGGCCCCCTCCCTCAGCCCCTCCCGCACGCCCGCCTCAACCCGGGGCCCTCTGACCAGGCTTGGCTCAGGCCTTCCTGGTGCCCGGTTGCATACAGGGCCCTCTCTCTCTGCCCACCCCTTCAACAGGGTGCTGGACAGCAGCCTCGGAGCAGAAGGCCTGGGCTAGGCCGTGAGACTGAGGGGTTGGGGTGACCCAGGCCAGGGCAGAGGCCTGAGGGAACGTGGCTCACCTGGCCAGAGGTGGACACAGTGGGACTGGGGCCACCTAGAGGGGAGGGAAGTTCACGGCCCAGCTGTAAACACGGGCGGTGCAGGGGACCCCCGGACTGTGCCCCAGTGCCTGCTGCCTCCTGGCTCCCCTACCCCAGCCAGGCCTGTGAGCTCACGACCTCAGTGCTGGGGGCCTTCGTGGGGCAGACTCACCCCTCCAGCACCACCTACTTCTAGGGCACCTGAGTGAATCCTGTCTCCCAAGGATGAGAAGGAAACCTGTGGGTGGGAGGGACCTGGGGCCACCCTGCCCAGAGGCGGAGGGTGGAGCGCCGTGGCTGGCACTGCGGACCCCGTCTGCTCCAGTGTCAGCTCTCGCTGCTGTGCTCCAGGGGCTGGGATGGGGCGGGTGGGGGCGGCAGCAGAGGAAGCCCTGGGTGAGATGGTGGCACCAAGCCTTCCCCACCAGTGGCTCGGGAAGGGGCAGCAGCCAGGCCAGCTGTGGGGGGCAGGAGAGTGCAGGCCCCACTCCCTCGCTTGGCAGGAGAGAGGGGGAGGGTTTGAGGCAGCTGCCCAGAGCAGCGGGCACTGTGGGCCCAGGCCTAGGTCTTGGTAGGGCTCACGTTCTTCAGAGCAGGGGTCTGAGATGAGGCCTGGAGGCCAGTGTCCACCCCGCAAGGCGCCCCGTCCCACATGGCTGAGCTGCCCTGAACTTGGACACCGGGCCTCAGTCTGCTGGAGCACCTCTTGAGGCCACGTGCCCTGGGCCAAGGGTCTCCCCTCCCCAGAGCCCCTGGTACACCCCCAGAAGCAGCTCGATCTGGGGGTGGGAGAGAAGGGCTGCTGCTATGCCACGTGCTGAGCGCCAGGGACGCGGATGTGCCTGAGTCACGGGGCTGCCACGGAGTGTGTCATCCGCTCTGTGTCCCCAATCCCCAGCTACCCCGGCTGTCACCCCAGTCCTTGGGGCTGCCATTGCGGACAGAGCCTGATGTGAGTGCTTCTGGCTGCCGTGCCCTGCCCAGCTCCAGAGGCCTCGGCAGGCAGGAGGAGCTGGTCAGTGCGGTCCTGTGGGACCCAGCCCCCAGCGTCCAGGGTAGGCTGCGTCCTGGCTCGCTGCTCAGATGGGGGCGTGAGAGATGGGGGAAGAGACCTTCGAACTGGGGATGATGAGGCGGGAGGGCGTTTCTGGGCACCCTTCCAAAAGAAGGGTGTCCCAGTGGTGGGCACGCAGTTTGCACCCTACGGAAGAAGAGCAGGACCACGGCAGGGATTTCGCTGGGTGAGGGCAGTGCTCAGAGAGACCGCCAGCCTGGGTCCCAGCCAGGAGGATGTCGGGATCCAGTGGGGCAGAGCAGGGTGGAGCAAGCAGCCACAGGAGGTGCACCTGCTGGGCACGCTGCCCTCCGGATCACTGTGCCCGGCCTGGGCGTTGCGAATCGGAGAGCCCAGGTGTCTGGGGTTCGACCCTGGCTTTGTGCACCTTCTAGAAAATCACTGTTAGCTTTGCTTCCCACTCCTGCTCAGGCAGCGTGTGAAGGGCCCAGGCCAGTGATGGGGGCCATGGTGCTGGGAAGAGCAGGGCAGGAGCACCACTTCCTTCCCTCCCAGTGGTGCCTGTCCCCTTCCCCTGGGCCAGGCCGGGCTACGGAAGACAGGCGGCCGGCCAGCTTCCTCAGCCCTGCAGCTGCTGGGGGGTCGCTCGGCTGAAGAGGAGATGTGAGCCGTCCTCTTCCGGAGAGTCTGTGTGTTCCAAGGCCCACCCCAGCCCTAGGGTCTTGGGAGCCCTCTCGGTGACTCTGGGACCAACCAGTGGCCTCTCTCCCCAGTGGACATGGCCACTGGCACAAGTGACATTAACATCTTGGGTTGTGCCTCCCCCTGACCAACGTCCTCTGAACTCTGACCTGTCCTCCATTAAGCCTCTGGCAGCTACTAATTGGGCTGCATTCCTCGTTCGTTCATGCATCCATCCATTCGTTCAGCAAGCACTCAGAGGCCACACAGCCATGGTGCCATCTGTCCTCACAGAGTCCCCAGGCCAGGAGGTGAGGCAGACAGGTAGACAGTTGTGACAACCCACGGGAGGAGTGAGACTCTGGAGATACCTTCTCAAATGTCAGGGGTCCCGATGGGGGCGGGGGCAGTGCTCATGCCAAGGGCCGAAGGGTGGAGGAGAGGGGCCTTGTGAACAAGTGGGCAGAGGGTAGGAGGGGACAAGGGACCGTGGTCTGCTGGACTGTGGGGTCAGGGCTGGGGAGGGGCCAGAGGTGGGGCTCTCAGAGCCCAGTGACTTGACTTGCAGAAGGGGCAGCTCCTCCTGGGGCCCCAGCAGGTCGCTGTGAACCGGCAGCCGCCAAGTGCTGGGGTCCCCTGTGCTCCTCAGGCTCACTCTGTCCCTCTCCCTGGTGGCACCCTGACCCAGCTCTGGCCCGGGCTGATGAGAAGCTGACTGAGGCAGTGGCCACTGCGTCCCTCCTTCCTTTGGGGGGAGCCCAGGAACCTCAGACTCCTCCGCGGCCTATCCCAGAAGGGGTCTCCCTCAAATTCCACTCCAAACTGAGACCCAGCACGCCGAGAGCCGAGGCTGGGAACGTGCACTCCTGGCCATCTTTTTAAAAGCCTCTTTCCCCAGTATTAGTTCTTGAGGTGCTTGTCCCTAAAGGGAGAGGCAGTGCCAAGCAGCCGGACAGCTGTCCCTGCCCCCTCCCAGCGGAAAGTCCAGGCAGGTCCTCTGACCCCACGGTGGGGGAACAAGGGCAGTCACGGGTGCCAACGAGGGGGTGGGCTCTGCACACCAGGGGAGCCAGCACCTCGGAGCCCAGCTGGCTGGGCAGGTGGGGCCAGGCCAGGTGCAGGGGCCTGTCTGGCCCCTCAGGGACCTTCTGCCCCCGTGAGCTCTGCTTTCTCCCCCAGCACCAGTGCCTGGGCCACGGTGTGGCTGCTTCCATTTCTGAGCTATGGGGTGGGGGCTTCTCAGGCTGGGTTAGGCCACGAGTGTGAGGAGCAGCTGTGGCCCAGCAGGACAGTGGACACAGGTTGGGGACCAGCGGGGCTGCCTCTGTGGAAATGCAGCTCTGGCCAAGGGCGTGGCGGGAGGGCTGACCACAGGCGGGCAGTGCCTTCTGGCTGCAGATGGGGGTGTGGGATGAGGGGCAGTGGGCACCCCCAGCTGCCTGGAGCCCTCCCAGCCTGTCCCCACCTCCTGCAGGCTCTCAAAGCTGGGCTTCTTTTCGCAGCTCGACCCTGAGACCAGGAGGGTGGGATGGGCCTATGGGCGCCGGCACATGTGACCCCGCAGAGAGCTGGGGCATCCACGTGCACCCCCCACCCCAGGCGCTCCACGTGCACACCCGCGACTGGGAGCATTTTCAGCCTAAATCGGCACCGCTCTCGGATTATTTCTCCCCAGGCGCCGCCTCCGCCGCCTCCTCCGGATCCTAGCCGGGCGGGCCGCTCTCCCCTCCCCGCTTCCCGCCTCCGGGGCCCCTCCCTGCTGAGCTGGGTTTGCAGGGCAGTCCCCACACCCACCCCACCAGCCGCGTGCCGTCCGCGGTGGAGCCGCCGGCACCGAGCGCGCCGCTGTCCATGGTGCTGGCGCCCGGCGGCCTGGGCGCGCAGAGGCCGGTGGGCAGGCGTCCCGAGCGGTGCAATCGCTCTGGGGACACCAACGGCCTCCCTCGCGCTAGGAGTCCCGGCAGTCGCGGACTTCAGTGTCCCCTCAGGGCCGCCGCTGTCCCACGATGGCCAACAGTGGCCACCCCGCCACACACACACACAGATGCCTTGATGTCGAAATACATGATTAACTCGCAAATGCTGTTATGATGTCATGTCAGCCAGTGTGAGGCTGCACTTACATGGCCCTGAGCACGTGCAAAGGGACAACCTAGGGGTGGGTGCCTCCTCCAAGAAGGGCCTGGCCCCAGACGACACCTTTCGGGAGGGGCAGATGGCACACAGGCCTGGGGCAGACTGCCGGCAGCAGGGCGCTTGCGGCTGCCAGGGCAAGAAGGCTGTTGGACCCCGCGCTGAGTTGGCAGCCACAAGGGCTGGTGAGACCCGCGAGTGCCGGCCCAGGTCTGCACCGTCCCCAGGTGTCACGGAGGGGTGGCAAAGCCTGCCCTGCTGCAGCCTGGAAGCCCATGGGGGCAGGAGTGCTGGAAGAGCAGGGCAGGGCCTCCCACTTCCCTCCCTCCCAGGGGCTCCCATCCTCCTCCCCTCCAGTCTAGCCAGATTACAGGGATGGGCTGCCAGCTTCCTCAGCCCTGTAGCTCCAGAAGTGGGACTCAGCCAAGAAGGAGACATGGGCCATTCTCTTCCTGAGGGTCTGTATACTCCACAGCCCACCCCGAGAGATTGTGGGGCAGGAAGGTAAGATCTGCACGTAGGCTCCAGGCTCAGCCCTGGGTCACCTACAGACCAGGGAAGGTCTGGCCATGGGCTCAGAAGTCCCCTCCATGTCCCCGCCCAAGCCCTCATGGAGAGCCACGTGCTGTGTGCGGCCCCTTTGACACATTGTCCCAAGGGAGCGGGGACTGTCACCTCCTCAGGCTTTAAGGTGAGGAAACTGAGGCTCAAAGAAGGGGAGTGCCTTGCCAAGACCACACGGCTGGGGTGGGGCGTGTTTCAAGTCCAGGGAGTGTGACCCCCAGAGCCCGTGTGGGTGAGATTCTGAGTGCTGCGTGCAGGGGTGGAGGTGGGCGGGAGATCTGGAATGGTGGCGCTGTGGGCATCCCACTGCCCCTCCCTTCCATGGCTGTCTGTGCCCAGGGCCCTCTGCCACCACTCACAGACAGGCAGCCTGAGAAGGGGAGCTGGGGGTGGTCTCAGCGCCCCCATGGTGGGATGACCCTGGCCTGAGAAGAGCCTTCTATGTGGCCTTCCTCAGCTAGCGCTGGTCCAAACTTTGGCTCCACTACTTAACTGGCCATGGCCTCAGGCAAGCAGTTCGCCTAGCCTCAGCCTCAGCTTCCTCATCTGTACAGTGGGGTACAGTCATTACAGCATCATCCTCATTCGATTGGGCAGAGCATTGAAGAGACACTATTTGTCCAAGGTTCACCATGCTGGCACCCGGGGAAGACACCTGTCCTTTCTTTGGGGAGCTGCTGAGCCACAGACCCTCCTGTAGGTGTTGAGATTCTTGGAAGCTGGTGCTCGAGTCCCAGACAGGGCACCAGAGCCACTCCAGAGAGCTGTGCTGGCACCCTGTAGGGGAGGGGCCAGAGACTACCCCAAATACCTTCCTTCAGTCCCCACCCCTGCCCAGGGGAGCTGGACCCAGTGGGCACTGACAGTGGGCATCGGAGCAGCAGAAGTGAAGGGAGACGTCCGTCCACGTCCCTTCTCCCATCTGTAAAAAGGGACTCCTCATACCGAAGTGTTGGAAAGCGTCTGTGAGCAGTGCAGGCTGAGCTGTTTACAGGGGCTGCGCAGTGAGTGCCATGGCCACGGTCGGCCTGCCCTCTACAGCTCACAGCCAGAGAGGGAGAGGCATGAACTCAGATCCTCCCTGTCAGGAGGTGCTGGGAGAGCCGTGGGAGGGTGCCCAGGGGAGGCAGGGAGCCCTGCTGCACCCAGCCCTCCTGAGAGAGCAGCAGACTCACTTCCTCCTCCTGGCCCCCGTCTGCAGAGTGTGTGAGGAAGATGTCGAGCCCGGGCATCAACGGCGACCCCAAGCCTCCATGCTTGCCTCGAAACGGCCTGGTGAAGCTGCCGGGCCAGCCCAATGGCCTGGGTGCGGCCAGCATCACCAAGGGCACCCCGGCCGTCAAGAACCGCCCCTGCCAGCCGCCACCGCCACCCAGCCTTCCACCACCCAGCCTGGCTGCCCCGCTGTCCCGGGCTGCCCTGGCTGGGGGCCCATGTCCCCAAGCAGGTGGACCGGCCTCAGCTCTGGCGCCTGGGCCCCCAGCAGAGCGGCCGCCTCTGGCCACAGATGAGAAGATCCTCAGTGGCCTGTTCTGGTATTTCTCAGCATGCGAAAAGTGCGTGCTGGCACAGGTGTGCAAAGCCTGGCGGCGTGTGCTCTACCAGCCCAAGTTCTGGGCAGGCCTCACGCCAGTGCTGCATGCCAAGGAGCTCTACAACGTGCTGCCGGGCGGTGAGAAGGAGTTCGTGAACCTGCAGGGCTTTGCCGCAAGAGGCTTTGAGGGCTTCTGCCTGGTCGGCGTCTCGGACCTAGACATCTGTGAGTTCATCGACAACTACGCACTCTCCAAGAAGGGCGTCAAGGCCATGAGCCTCAAGCGCTCCACCATCACGGATGCGGGCCTAGAGGTGTGCCCCCCAGCTGGCCTCGAGTGGACAGGGTGGGGGGCAGGGCCAGGCAGCAGCGCGTGGGTGTGGGAGAGCCTGGGGGCCCCCAGAGGAGGCTCAGGCACAAGGAGCAAAGTGGCTGAGTGTGGGTGCCCTGAGGACCATTGTGGGTGGGGGCCAGTGCGAAGTGAAAATGTGGGTCTTTTCAAAAATGATGAGTTTCAAGACGGAGACAGCGGAGCAGTCAATTAACTCCGGGTCCCTGCCTGCCCGTGAAGCTGGCCTTGGGCGGGGAGGATGCCGGGGAGGTGGGCAGCTGTGGAAGGGCGCCCGGGAGCAAAGGTCGGAGCGGCTGCGCAGCCGGCTCCATCCCCAGGACCCGGACTCTCGTTATAACCTTCAAACCAGCTGCTCTAAGCACCTGCTCTGGCCAGGCCCTGGGCTCCCAGGTCCCCTGAGCCGCCTTCCTCTTTTGAAATGTCCAAGTGTAGCAAACTGTAAAGTGTGCTCCTCGGAGCTGGCCTTGATGCATGTTTGCACGGGAGACCACTTCCTCCCTCCCCGATCCTCCCCACACCCTGCTGGGAGGGGTGCATGGGGCGGGGTCTGAGGCCAGGCGCCCCCTGACCCCCGCATGCCCCGCAGGTTATGCTGGAGCAGATGCAGGGCGTGGTGCGTCTGGAGCTGTCGGGCTGCAACGACTTCACGGAGGCCGGGCTGTGGTCCAGCCTCAGCGCGCGCATCACCTCGCTGAGCGTGAGCGACTGCATCAACGTGGCGGACGACGCCATCGCGGCCATCTCCCAGCTGCTGCCCAACCTGGCCGAGCTGAGCCTGCAGGCCTACCACGTGACGGACACGGCGCTGGCCTACTTCACGGCGCGCCAGGGCCACAGCACGCACACACTGCGCCTGCTCTCCTGCTGGGAGATCACCAACCACGGCGTGGTCAACGTGGTGCACAGCCTGCCCAACCTCACCGCGCTCAGCCTCTCGGGCTGCTCCAAGGTCACGGACGACGGCGTCGAGCTCGTGGCCGAGAACCTGCGCAAGCTGCGCAGCCTCGACCTCTCTTGGTGCCCGCGCATCACGGACATGGCGCTCGAGTACGTGGCCTGCGACCTGCACCGCCTGGAGGAGCTCGTGCTCGACAGGTGCGCGCCTCCGCACCCGCGGCGGGTTAGCGTTAGGGTTAGGGTGGGCGGGGTCGTCGTCAGGCGGGGCGGGGCGAGGGGCTTAGCTTGAGCAGCGCTACCGCAGAGAGGGGCTGAGCCCCTGTAAGCCGAGCGCCCGGAGAGCGGGCGGAAGTACGGCGTGGTTGGTGAACCGGGGGCCTTTGGAGCGGTGATTCCACGGAAGGACCGGGAGCTATTACGGATAGGGCAGGAGGGGAGTTTATGCCGCGAGCACTCGCGGGAAAAGGAGGAAGGGGCCGGAGCTGAGGGGCGGAGGGAGATGACTTGAAGGTGGGTGGTCCCCTCTGGTGCACCCGCAGGTGTGTGCGCATCACGGACACTGGCCTCAGCTATTTGTCCACCATGTCGTCCCTACGCAGCCTCTACCTGCGATGGTGCTGCCAGGTACCGGCCCTCCACGCCCGTGGGAAGTGGGGAATAGGCCAGGGAGGTGGGGGCGTGGGGAAAGCCCAACCCAGACGCTCTGCTGACCTGCTCCCCGCCCCATCAGATCCCGCAGGGAAGTCTGGGATCCCTTCGCATCCAGTATTTGTGCTAAGCGGAATTCACGGGGTCCCCAGGGCACTTCCCAGCTGCCTCCTAGCTCCTCGGGGGCTAAGAAACCCCGGGTTTGAACCCCGCTTCCCTCTCCAGCAGCTCTAGGCCTAAGGCCTGACCCCGGGCTTCCCTCCCCAGCGCCGTGCAAAAGGAAATAGTAAATTCGCCCCCTCTCCCGCCCAGGTGCAGGACTTCGGGCTGAAGCACCTCCTGGCCATGAAGAGTTTGCGTCTCTTGTCTCTGGCAGGTGAGGCCCCTGACTCCCACCTGGACAGTGACCACCAACCCCCATCTAGTCTGACTCTACCAGACTTTTCGGGTCCTTGCGCAGAGCCCCCCTACCCCCCTACCCCC